TTCGAGGAGGATCTGAGCTTCAGTCCCCGCAACTGGCTCCATCGGCATCGACTGACTTTCCTGGACTCTGAGGGCATTGAGCGCGAGGTGCATTGTCCACTCCCGCAAGATTTGGAGCAGTCCTTGCAAAATACAAAAGTGCCGCAGCTTGCAGAGACCTACCGGCGGTTTCTCGAAGCGGAGGAAGCGAAGCCCGTGAAGCCTGGTGCCTCGGTGATGTGGCCGGGATAAGTCCTCGGAGTGATGGCGGTTTGCCTTGCAGAAAGTGCTGTGGAATGAACATCAAGCAATCCGAGCACACTTTGCTGAAGAAACTGCAAAGCGCTGGCCTGCCGGCAGATCTTGAATCCTGGCAGTGCAGAACATTGCAGAACGCTTTTTTATGCTCCATCCCGGTTCACTATGACCGCCCACTTGCCCTTTGACTGCAAGTCCGCGCATGTCCTGCAAATCCCGCAGACGGGGGTTTAAAAACGAGGGCTTAGCGGCGAGGTTTGAGACCACTCAAAAGAAGAGGGGGCTAGAATCACAAGGATAACAATACTACTCATCATAATAACGACAATAGTAATGATATCAATGATAAACATTACTATTACTGTTATTCTGATTCAGGTCACGACTGGGAGCTGGCCGGAGTTTGGAAGGCCAAGTTGCACATTGCTGGCGGCTGGCCCCAACAGTGGCTTTGTTCCGTTTTAGTGAAGCCCATATTAGGATCCACATGGCCCAAAAGTTGTGGAAACTCAATCATCCCCGGCTTGGACGCAGTCAGAACTCTTCTCGAGACCAGGGCACCTTGCTGCAGATCACTCGGCGAGAGATGACCGGACGGGCAGAAAGGAGAGTTTGGATTCTCTGACCGAGGGGCTCTGTGAAAGCATCGTAGATGCTGTGACGAATCCTAACTTGAAGCGTTCCAATCACCTCGTGCACTTCCTGTGCAGCAGTTCCGAGACCAGCTCACACTAGCGACTTCCGGCTGCTTTGCTTTCCAAACCGACGACCTTTTTACCAGCTTCCTGCCTTTCTCGTGAAGTTGGTGAAAGGCTTCTTCTTTCCCAAGATGAGGCTGACGTGACCACTCTGAGAGGCTTCACCTAGTCAAGGATGTGCAGGTGGACTTCGAGTGGGCACCGAACGCTTCCCCTGGCAGAGAGTCTCCGCGATATCTTCGGGCAGCCTGGCTGGGTTTGGCCTGTTCCCCGTCTCCTACTCTCCCACACCCGCAGCCCCTTTGACAGCTGAGGCAACAACGGGATCTTCATAATTGGTCTTCCATTGGGAGAGTGCCAGCCCAAACGCAACCAGGCTCTTGGCTACCCCGCATGCAGGTCTTTCACAGACCACGGCGCCAAGCCTGGAATGTTGGATGCCAGATCTTTCCGGCCCTTATGCCGATTCTTTTCTGATTTGACATCTTTGGGAATCAGCCTAGGGTGTGATGACAATGGTTGCACCAGCGCGAGAAGGTTTACCTCCAGCAGCATCAAGGATTGCGCTCTGGTTTGTAACCAACTCCACTCAGAAGACTCAGAAGGTTGCAACATTTGGGTCTTTGAAGATAGCTCTTCAGAATGCAGCTTGCGGACGCTCGGCTTGATAAATAATGCGACACAGACGGCAGCGCCCTGGGATTGCATCCCCCTATGTGTGCTCGGGATGTGGCCAAGGGGCCATGGATGTGCGGCGCAGTCGTCAGAGCAGTCAGCCAAATGTGACTCAATGCAGTTGCATGGCAGAAAGGAATTCTTGCTGGCCTGACACGAGCTACAGTGATTCTATTGGTAACAGCGGAAGACAAAGGGCTTCCTTTGCCCTCGCAGTTGAGCATGGTGCTTACCAGTTATGTTCCGGAATGGCACCTCATGTAAACTACTAGCAGCTATGTAGCGGAAACATGGGAAATGCTGACTGTAGCCCACGTCTGTGCCCCGTATTAGAGCAGCTTACATTCGCAGCACGCTTGCGGCATGTGACATGTACTGTCTGATGTGCAACAGCATTCGTGCCGGATGTGCCTGGGAGACCATGTCTTGTCCAAGAGGCTTGCTGTACCAACAGCCCCGGCATCAGGCAGTTTGCAGCTTTTGCAGCACCAAGGCAGCTGCTCAGTAGAAGCCAGTAGATCAGATGTGCAACCGGTTGTGCGTGTAGTCTCGTCTTCCGAGCATGCAGAAAGAGGTCGTTGGCCATGCGGGCTCTGTGCAACAATTGCAGCAGACGCGCCAGCAGAAAGAGGTTTCTACTCCTATGCGCAGGCCTGCAGGAACATGGCACGTAAAACACCAAGCAAGAATCTGGGCTGCTGTCAAAAGAGCTGAATTTAGGCTACTACATTGGGGAAACCCTATTATTTACCATATATACCCATTATCATTATGGTAACTTCACTTAAGTTCCGTAACAGCAACCCTAAACCCTAAACCCCTGTTTCCATTTCATTTTCCATTGTCTTATCCATTTGATTCTCCATTATTGGGGGTAGTATCACTATATAATTCCAGTTAAGCCGCTAAGCCCTATGTTACCCCAGTTTCCATTTCATTTCCATTTTCTTTTCCATTTGATTCTCCACTATTGGGGGAATAATATCCCTATACTCCAAACCCCTAAACCCCTAAACCCCTAAAGCCTAAACCCTAAACCGTTCCTTAACAGCAACCCAGGAATGTGGCTTGGGAGGATTTGGCCAGGCCATGCAAGGACTTCCGATCCCGATGCCTGCGCAAAGCCTGGCCTTGGGCCCTGGAGGCCTGGCAAAAGCTGACCGCCTTGGCTTTGAAGCTGGGCTTTTAGGGGGTTTTAGGGGTTTAGGGTTTTAGGGGTTTTAGGGGTTTAGGTTTGTAGGGTTTTAGGGATTTTAGGGTTTTTAGGGTTTAGGGTTTAGGGTTTTAGGGTTTAGGGTTTAGGGTTTTAGGGTTTAGGGTTTAGGGTTTGGGGTTTAGGGTCTAAAGTCGTTAAAGGGGGTTATCCAGGGGATTGTATAGGGGACTACTATAGGGGTTATTAAGGGGGATACTAGGAGTTTAGAACATGGGCTATGTAGGGATATTATCCCCCAATAACAAAGAACCAAATGGAAAAGACCATGGAAAATGACATGGGAAACAGGGGCAGTATAGGGATTAACTGGGGTTATATAGGTATGCAACCTGCGAGGATGGAGAATCATATGGATAAGAAAATGGAAAATGAAATGGAAACAGGGGTTTAGGGTTTGGGGCTGCTGTTAAGGAACTTAAGTTACCATCATCGTATATATTGTAATTTATATGGTTTCCTGAATATGGTAACTCAAATTAACTTCCTTAACAGCAACCCAGGAAGCCGGGCTTGAAAGAAGCATCTGCCACCGTCACTTCCTGTAGATCCCAATGGAATGTTGCTCTGGCTGTTGTGGAGGCTAACTGCCGACGTCGCATGCGAACCGATGCCATTATACACACTACAATCATTACGGCGTGCGAGAAGGGAGCAAGGTGGGAGCGTGGGGTGCTTACAATGCAAGGAGTGAAGACCAGACAAATGCAGCTGGATGTGACAGCTTGTGGTGCCACGATTAGCACCACTGCCAAAGGTGGCAGGTGGTTGAATGCTTTGCTTTTACTTTTTGGGGTTTGCAAAGAGGCGGTCAGGCCAAATCAAGTCACGGTCAACGCTGCCGTTGGCGCGTGCGAACAAGCTCAGTGGAGGCATGCTTTCCTTACGCTTTCGGCCGCAGGCCTTGAGGGGCTGCAGTTGGACATTATCTCGTGTAATACAGCCTTGGGCTCATGTGTTGCGGTTGCACCATGGCAGCTTGCTGTGGCATTGTTTGCTGGGATGTTTGGAAATTGGCAGAGAGACATTGTTACGTACAACACATTGATGAGTGCCTATGAGAAGAGGGGACTTTGGCGAGAGGGATTGCAACTGCTGTCTGAACAGCTCAGAGGCGCAGTGCGTCTGGACATCATCTCGATGAGTGCCAACATGGGAGCACACGCTCGAGTAGGGCAGTGGGAGCATGCCTTGATCTCCTTCCAGGCCATGACCTGTTACGGAGTGCGACTCAACATTGTGCCCTTCAGCATGGCTGTGGATGCCTGTGATGCGCAAAGGTGCTGGCAAGCTGCTGCAGGATTGATGCTTGACGCTTCTGTGACACTACGATTGGATGCCATCAGTCTAAACTCTGCCTTGAAAGCTAGTGCGTCTTGGAGACAATCCCAGACGATCCTGGCAAACAGTCAGTCCCTCTTGCTTGAAGTTGATCTTGTGATGACCACCACAGCCATTAGTGCAGCCGCGAGTGATTCAACTTGGCGATATGCTCTTTTCCTCCATGAAGAGTTTCACAGGTCAGATGGGCATGATGATCTGACAAACTTTAACGCCATTGTCTCTGCATGTGAGCGCGTGTGCTTGTGGGCACATGTGCTACACATGTTTGCTGACATCTCGCGGTTCACCTTGCACCCCGACGTTTTGACAAGCGGTTCCATCTTGCATGCCTGTGCATATGGCAGGAGAGGCCTGCAGGTCCAAGTAATTTTGGCGAAGCTGAGCCTGGCTGGCTTCCAAGCATGCAGGCACCAAAAAGGAAAGCTAGCAAAGATGTTTTCTACTACTAGTATTCTTAGTAGTACTATTAAAGTTATTCCCACTTCTCTTGCGATTTTCGCAGTTATGGCTATGATTAGATCTAGGCTTCACCCGGTTCATTTGTGCTGCTGTGTTCGCTTGGGAGAGTGTGTAAGCCCCACAATTCCCTTTTTATTGTAGGTACCTCCACAAAGGTACCCCCCGATTTGGGGAGGCCTAATCTCTGATCTCTATAATCTTCTTTTCCACTTGATTCCATGATTGGCGTTTCAGGTCCGTAATTTTCTGCTGCTTTAGGCGTAGGAGTGATCCAATTCTGCACTGACAAACAGTACGCGCAATGTCTGCAGTTAAACCTTGTCATCTCTTTTAGATAGTTCAGACCCGCAAGCAAGTGTTACACAGCATGCTGCATGGATGGGGCACCCGTGGAGAAGGCTGCAGTGGCCTTCCCCAGCCTCAAGGCAAGGAGTCGTGAGCCACCAGAGGTGGCTGCGGTGCTACGGCGCGGCCCCTATGCCTCGCTGCAGTCCGTGGAGGATGCACTGCAGCCAGCCGCTTGGACTGAACTTCAGCATGGCGCGTCCGCAAGCCTCCATGTCTTCATGCAACAGGTTCTGGTGGAATGGCGATGGAAGCCGCATCTGATTACCCGTGCTCTGCGGAGCCTCGCCAAGCGAGGTTTTCGCAACACAGCCTGGCGAGTGTTGCAGGTCCTTCGCAAGAACCACCTGGGACCTAACGTCATCCATTTCAATGCAGCCATCCACGCGGTAAGTAGCCAGAGCCATTGGACGATGGGCCTTGTGATCTTAAGTTCCATGGACAAGACCGTCGCCAGCCCTGATGTCATCACCTGGAACTCAGTAATTGCCTCCATTGGAGGGCGTTGGCAATCAGCCTTCAGGCTACTGCAGAGCATGGCCAGCCTGAAGGCACGCTCTGACGAGTTCAGTTTCAACTCCGTCCTAAAGGCCTGCTCCGAGGAATCTTGCTGGCAGACCTCCTTGGCATGCTTGCAGGCGGGGCTTTTGTTTAGGAATGAAAAAGCAAATTTCAGAAAGCCTTGAGCCGGAGGCCATGCAGGGGGAGCTGCATTCCGATGTGGTCAGCTGGAACAGCGCTATCAGTGCCTGCAGCCGATGCAGTGAGTGGCAGCATGCCATGGATTTGGCGAGAAGGTTGCCAGAGAGGGGCGTCCACCCAGACTCGGTGACAACTGTCGGCTCCCTCAGTGCATGTGAGAAGGGGTGCAAGTGGGCATCTGCAATTGTCACTTTGCTGAAAACCTGGTTCTGAGGTTGATTGCAATCAGTGAGGTTTTCTGCCTTGACGTCTCATTCAGTCCTTCCTGTCAGAACTTGTCAGGCTTTGCTGTCAGTGATGAACGACAACAGGCAGACGCCGAACATCGTCGTGTGCAACTCTCTCATTTCCGCATGCGCATCCGCCGGCCAATGGGAACTTGCCCTTTGTCTACTGGAGAAGATGCAAGTGTTCACGCTGGAGATGGACATCTTCAGCGTAAGCGGTGCCATCAACGCTTGCGAGAAGGGTGGAGAATGGCGGCGGGCTCTGCATCTCTGCAACAACCTGCTGAAGATTCGCCTTGCACCGAATGTTGTGGCAATCAGCAGCGCGATCACAGCTTGTGCCAAAGCAAGCCGCTGGGAGATCTCTTTGTTCCTCCTGCACTCAATGGGCGAGCTGCAAGTGCAGGCTAATGCCTTCAGCTACAGTTCCGTGATGTCCGGCTGTCAAAAAGTGGGCAGCTGGCATCAAGCTTTGGAACTTTTCCGGCAGATGCCGACCGCTGGTTTGGTGCCCGATGTGGTGAGCTGTAACGCTGCCTTTCAAGGCATTGCTCGCTGGGAGATGGCCAGCCAGCTGGTAGATGAGATGGACAAGAAGCAGGTGCCCGTGAACGAGCTGAGCTTCAATAGCGCCATTGGTGCCTGCGCCACAGTTAACGAAGTGGCTGCTGTGCAGGCCACAGCACAGTCACAAAGTCTGTCAGTTACTGTCTTGAGAGGCCTGAAGGAGCCATCAAATAGTGCGCGCTGCATGGCTTACGCTTCCGGCTTTCAGACCGTTTCAGGAAATTTCATCGACTTGTTGTTTGGTTCGCTCCTTCAGGGTCATGTGCTAGATTCTCAGGACTCCTCCTACGAGAAGCAAACGAAGAAAAACGATAACCTTGGAATCCCGTACTGAACAGAGTAGGGGCCCTTGATATGGCCCTTTCCAATAAGGCTTGGGATCTTTAAAATGCCACACGCAGGATTTATGAGAAGTACTCTTCTACAGTATCTTGCTTGATGAGGCCTCTCTTTGGTGAAGGGTCGGGGGAGAGAAGAATTATTTTGAATCTTGTAAGGGTTTCAGCCGATCGTGAGTGTTTGTGCGCTGAGACCTTGCACGCAGGGATCGCTGCTCAGTCCTGGCAAGAACCATGACCGCGCCATTCCAAGGCTTTCTGCGACGAAGCAGCTGGCGCCCTTTGACGCACCCCCCGCGGCTGAGCGAGTGGTCGGGCTCTTGGAGAAGCCGAAATAGTCTTCACTGGCATCTCTCCCAAACAGGTCGTCATCTCTACCAACGTGGCTGAGACATCAGCCGGCAGCCCGGCTCGAGCTTGAAGCTGTGTTTGACAACAGCCCTGCATACTGAGAGGTGACCCTGCCCAACGTGCAGTCAACTCAGCTGTCTGCAGACTCCATTCTCTTGGCTTCAGCGAATACTCCTTTAGACTCTTCTGAGAACAGGCGCTACGTTGTGGACACCGGCAAGGAAAAGCGCCGGAGGTGCTAGATGGTTCAAAGCAACTGATTCTGGAGACCTGTTTGCTTGCAAGCTGAGATCCTGCAGTCGATGCTACTCGTAGTGACCGGCAGATACCCCTTGATACTCCTGGTGTTGCGGAAGGGTGGGGGCGCGCTTGCTTGGCTCCAGCGTTTTCAGTTGCATTTGCCACTAGCAAGCAGCAAGCTTGAACACAGCAGGCCATGTCAGGCCAAGACCGTATGATTGCACAAGGAATCTGGATCACAACATCTCTAAAGTGTAGGAAGCATGAGGGGATGGCACCGAGATTTGGGACCCCTATGAGCAGAAAGAATGGAGCCCGGAAAACCCAGCCAGGAGCCCCAGGAAGGACGGAACCCAATGAACCTGGAGGGAGGCTCCTTGCAGCGATATGCCCTCCGCCTGCCGGATGCCCAGCTTTTCATCAGCTCACTGCAATTTCGTCCCAGTGGCAAGCCCGTACCGAACGCATCTGCCCAAGGTCGGAAGTCGTGATGCAACAGCACGCCGCAAGAAGAAAGGACTGGGCGGCTTGGCAAGTGAAGGAGGAGGAGCTCTGCGACGAAATCCGCGAGCTCAGCAGCCAGGTTCAGGCAGAGCAGCAGGAGCGTGATCAAGCCGTGGGGCGCGAGACGATCCTGGAGCAGGAGCTTCGTGCTGAGCGGCGTCGCCGCATCGACCTCGAGGCACAAATCACGCTGGCAGACACCTGGAAGGCCGAGGCTGCGGCGGCTGACCGCGCTGCGCGCCTTGCAAACTCCAACTCTGCACTCGCCGCCGCCACGGAGAGCGAGGCGGCGCGAGAGTGGAAGCGCCAGGCCGCTGAGTCTCGGCGTGCTGAGGCCAAGGCCAGTGCCGCGCAACACCGGGCAGAGCTGGCGGCGCAGAATGCGCGTAAGGAGCTGAACCGACACCTGGAGGAGCGGGAGCAACAATTCCAGCAGCGTGTTCAGCAGGCACGTGCCAGCGAGGCTGAGGTACTTGCTGAAGCCTGGCGGATGTCTGGGGAGCTGCGGAGCGAATTGGATGCCGTCCGCACCTCTGATCGCTCGGATCGGCCCAGTGAGGGCAGCAGTGCCAGGCAGGCACTTCAGGACTTACGAGAGCTGCGCCAGCGGTACACCGATATGCTGGGGCCCTGAGTAGCGCATCCACAGCAGAACGAGGACGACCCTGGAATGTCTGTGCTATGCTTCGGCACCATACCCAACAGAGGCGCACGGCCACGCAACACACTGCAGCACAACACACAGCATCTTCTGTGAATCGGTGTCTCAAGTCTCACGGAGCTCAGGAACCAGAGAAGAGTGCAAGTTTCCTTGCCCAAAAAATGCATGCCAGCCCTCATCTTTTGTGATTCGCTACACGACATTGCACGCGCAGCAACTGTGAGGTACAAAGCAGCATCGGGTGTGTCTGCATTCGTGATTGACAGGACCTGCCCTTTTGCTCTGTCATACGTTCAGCCGCCTCATGTCCAATGCGGAGATGACTAAGCTTGGCAAAGCTATCTTACATTACTTACTTTCCTAAAGAGATCGTCCTGCAGGCGCTCCCCGAAAGTATGTATTCTCAGAAGCACAGGCAGACGACGGCAACGTGCAGCCGCAAGATCTGCAGAAAGCAGAGTACTTTATCGCCAAACTCGTCAACTAGTCTGCTCCATTGCTTTCCTGATGTTTTTGACAGAGCCATCATGAAGTCAAGATTCCCGCAAGTTTTCTTCTATGAACAAGATGTGCACCAAACTTCATTCAGTCCACGAGGCCGAATTACAAGCAGGACAAATTTCCAGCCAGAAGCTAAAGTTACGTCCTGACGTCTGGGGGAAGACTTCATCCCTCGATCAGGAGGCAAGGTGTCTTAGAAGTGTCAGAACTGGCAAGCAGGACGCAATGCCAAGAAGTGTACGTGCCTAACTACCATGCAAAGAACCGCACGGTCGAGCAAACTTGCACAAGTAGGGAAAACTATGCACAGCCTACTTGGGCTTGTAACTACGGCAGCACACTCGAAAAACGAGCTCTTGATCCAGAGGCCAGCTTATTACGTCCAAGCTTGCACTGTTGAGTGTCGCCTTGCTTCTCATGAAAGCTGAGTGTTCAACCTCAAGCGTCTCTTGTTAAGAATGTAAGATGTCGCAGGCCAGATTTGTGTTAGTCCCCGACCCACCCACCCACCCGCCCCGTCGCCCGCCCGCTCGCCCACCCGCCAAAAGCACGCCAAGTAGATGAAATTAGCTTCCGTGGTGCAATTCCCGGAAATGGAAGCTTTGCGGCACCGTGTTTGTTTTTTGACATTTGCCTGCGCTGTAGTTTGCTGGATCAGACGTTGATAACGGCCGCACCCGAAACTAAACAGCTCTACTTGCGGTCGCTTCTAATGGATGTCATGGATTCTCAGTTGAAGGTCTTCAAGTTGGAGCCCGCATCAAGCTCCAAATTTGGTTTCCAAAATTCAGGCGTCTTGTTAGGAGGCCTGTAACAAGGATTGTAGTAGATTGGGGTATGCAAGGGCAGGTCCTTTTCACAACAAAAAAACCCTGAACCCTAGACCCTAAATAGTGCTTGCCTGCACTCTTGTGTGCGATGCGCGTGTCTAAATAGTAGCTTCCATTTTCTTTTCCATTATCCCTACTTTAAACTGCATGGTGTGGGAGGATCTCCAAGGCTTCTGCTGATCAACGCGCTGGGCGTGCCGCCAACTTGGACTGCGAAGCACGGAGCGCATCCGGAGCTTCAGCGTGTTAGAATACTGTTATATTATTGATCTCGTGGCTCCATAATGGAGATTGAAGCTTTTTCACCTTGCCCTTGCTTCTCCCCCTGACCAGTATTGCTGGTACAAGTGCGGTGCCAGCACTGCCATTTCAAAGTGGACCTCAAGACAGGCTTTTTACGCACTTTGCGTTATCTCAGTGTGAAGCGTGAGATGTGTAGGATTCTTTGACTGTTGAGACCTTGGAATGCCTAAGGAGATTTCTAGAAACTGCAACCGTCTTTGGATGCTACTCGGACTTGGATCTGATGTTGTGCGCTTTCCCGCCATGGAAGCTTCACCCGCCTTTGCAAGTTACAGCAAGGCAAGGCCCCTTACATTGGGGCGGCCCCAACAGGCACAGAGCAGAGACCTGCAGAGCATCTCCTGGGTTCCGAGATCAAAATTTGGCCTTGTAACCGGCTGGGCCATCTTGAAGATTTGGGGGCGACGGACCAACCAACGGACGACGTGCCATGCACGTGCTCAGACTTTGACCTCACTGAAACAGCAGCTTTATGCGGCCTACAAGGGAGGCCGTGGAGATGAAGCTGCAGAGCTGTTCCAAGAATTGCCATCAGAACTGCAGCAGCAGCCAGTCCACCGCAATACGGTTCTGGGAGCCTTTGCCAATGGTGCGGATCTGGAAGGCGCTCTGGGTTGGTTCCAGCAGTATCCTGAAGCCGGCGTGAAGAGCAGCGTTAAGTCCTATGGCAAGCTGGTAGAGGCTGCGGCTTCCGCCGGAAAGCCCGAGGTTGCAAAGGAGTGGATGTCAAAATTGGAGGAGCGTTACGGCCGCGAACCACTTTGCTACAGCATGATGATCAATGCCTATGCCAAGGCTAACTCTGCAGACTCTGCCAGTGAGTGGTTTCAGACGAAGCTGCGACTCTTCGGAGAGGTGACTTTGGTTGACTTCAACCAAGTTGTTGATGCCTTTGCCCGAGTTGGTGACTTTGAAGGTTCAAAACGTTGGTTTGACAAGGCTCAGGCTGCTGGATTCACGCCCGATGCCACTTCCTACACAGCACTGATAAGTGCGATCTCGCGGTCCAGCCGTGCGAACTCTGCAGAGATCTGTCTTGATCTCTTGGGCGCCATGGCAACTGCCAGGCTGGCACCTGATGTCGTTACGCACAATGCCATCATCACTGCCTACTGCAGGCAACACGAAGTTGGCAAGGCACAGCAGCACCTCCACAGCGTCTCAGAGTCAGGGATCCCACTTGACGCTTGCTCTTTCACGCCGATCATGCAGACATATGCGGAGGAGGGTCAAGTACAGAGTGCACTGGCATGGTTGGACATCATGCGCTCCCAAGACGTGTCCCCAGATGCTACAGCATACACAGCTGTACTCCTTGCGTGTGCACGGGTCTTAGAATCCCGAACTGCAAGGCAGGTCTTTGAAAAGATGCTCGAGGACAAGGTGCAGCCTGACATAATTGCAATGAACACCCTCATCAACTCCAATGCCAAGTGTGGGGACATGGACGCCGCACAATATTTCTTTCGCATGAGCATAGAGCTGGGCTTGAAGCCCACAGTGCGGACATATACTCCACTGGTGGAGGGCCTGGGCCATCAAAGCCGTTTGAAAGAAGCCATGGCGCTTGTTGAGGAAGCTGCAGCTTCGGGCTTGAGCCCCGACGTGCCTCTGTACAATGCGCTCTTGAAAGCATGTGTCAAGGCGGAGGATGCCGACTCAGCCGAGGCCATTTTGAGCCAGATGTCGCAGCAACAACTCAGCCCTGACGCCCAGAGCTACAATGCGCTAATCGGCGTCTATGGCAAACTGTCTCGTGTGGAAGCTGCTGCCGGTGTCATCGCCCGAATGCAGGAGAGCGGGCTGAGGCCGAACCAATACGTTTGGACTGGCATGTTACAGGCGTGCAAGAAGGCGAAAGATTTGGCCTGGGCATGTGTGACCTTTCGCACCCTGATGAAGCAAGGGATTGAAGTGGACAGCCTACTGCTAAACCGCCTCTCAGAGGCAGTTCCTATGTCTCTGCGCCAGAAGCTGCAGGAAGAATATATTTAGAGCACTTTGCCTGCCAAAGGTGCAGGGCGCCGTAGAACGCTTGTACCAGCTGCGCAAATCGCGTGCATGAGACGACGTCCTTTCCTTTCGAGGTAGATTTATGCTTCAGGCTGTACAACCATACCTCAGAGGAGCTGAGTGCTTGTGCGCCCATGTCGCAGCTGCCAGCGGTCCTTTTTGGGCTGGTCATTCAATTGCAATTGAGGCCGGCCGCTTGGGTCCTGGTCACACTTATCGCCGTCAGCCTCAGCAGCATACGAAGTTAACAGTTTGATAGCGCACTGTTGGGACTGCCGCAGCCGTGCCCTGAGGTTTGTATTCTTCCGCTGCTTACGAGAACTACTTCACAAAGTTTGCGTCGAAAACCCGGCACAGCACGATCCGGAAGTCGCAGGGAGCCTTGCGGGCGCAAAGGCCAATCCCCATGTTGCACACACCGATGGATCCCGTGCTGCTGGAGACCAAGCGTGTGGATCCCACATGAGCTGTAGTCTAAACTCTAGAGTCTAAACTCCTTTTACTAAAGGTGGTTATATGGGGGACCAGGCCTTTAGCCTACAGCTCACATGGTAGTTTCCCCCGTACATTGGGGGGGATTTCAAGAAAGTCGTCCATATGCTGGAATCTTGGTTATGGCGACGCCAAAAACTCAAATTCTGGCAGCCCTCAACGTTATTTGTAAAGCCTAGAGCTAGAAGGCCAGATGCACACTGAGAGCTGGGAAGTTTGGAGTCGTTTTTTGGATTGCTTCTCGCAATTTTTTTGGCCCAGCAGCCTTAGATGGCGGCCCTGGCAGCCCTCACCTTATCCTTGCTGCCGCATCTGGGCTTCAAGATCTCAAAAAGGATTCAACATGTCTTTGCTATGCTCCTGTAGCTTTCAGAGGGATGCCCAAGTTGCGACATTCTTCTCGGTGTCCCGCCAGCACCCAGGAACCTTACAAACTACTTCATATTCACCTACAATGCTCCAGGCTCAGCTTGCCTCCTCGAAGCATCCAGTCCAGCACAAGGCTACTGTGAGAGTAACTCAGGCCCGGTATCGTACAAGTGCTCCAAGTCTTTGCATGCTTGGCAGCCGCCAGCCAACAAGAGGCTTGCGAGGCTAATGCACAGAAACTTACCTGATGATGGCTTTCTTGCAAGATAATAAGAGGTGATTGATAGCTGACCGAAAGCTTGTCTGCAGCCTGAGGATGCCGCGGACACCATGTTCCAGCCTTGTCCAGCGAAATCACAGTGCAGCTAAAGTATCGTTGAAAGTGAGTGATTCCACGCAGCCTGTCAGCACACGCGAGAGGAACATCGCGAGTTGTCATTGACTGCAAGACAGCTATCTGAGCAGACCCAATACACTATAGTAGCTTCCATTTCATTTTCTATTATCCCAATATATCCCAATACACTATAGTAGTTTCCATTTCATTTTCCATTATCCCAATATATCCCCAATACACTATAGTAGCTTCCATTTTATTTTCCATTATCCCAATATATCCCCAATACACTATAGTAG